ATAGAATAAAAAAAGTTACCAATGGTGCTTGAAATCGGCTTATGTTAAAGTCCTCTCCTGCCCTATACCCACTAGAACTTTTTAGCAATAAGGGCTAAACTAGTCTAGCCTGGAAGTCCTTCCAGCATTGGAAGCATGACCTAGATATTTACCTGTTTGCATTGGGGCATGGCCAGAAGAGGTTTCTGCAACACTACTCCAAGCCACCTGCTGACCTTTCACTGGGTTTAAGTGTTTCTGGAAGAAGATGGATTAAGGGCCTGTGGCAGGAGGCTGCAATGAGAGGAAAAAGGAGCCAGGAGAGACTATTGCAGAGAATTTTCTCTGGAGTGTTTTTGCTAGAGTTGCCTTGTGTAATTCTTGAGTCTATCAAAGGGAGGACTTGTGGGGCAACTGGGATACACCAACCATACTTGCTCACAGACCATGTGAAAATCTGCAATCTGCCTTTTGTGAAATGGTGTGCTCATGAAAACTGGAGAAAATTGTGAAGCTTTTTATGCCTTGGCCCACTACAGTGATGTCTGGGCTCCTAGAGCTATTAGGCAATGGTGAGGTAGGAGGAAGGTGGGTAAGAACAGACTAGGATTGATTAGGGCCTTTTTTCATTGCTTTTTAAGCCCAGACAAGGAGAGTGGGATTTACCTAAATGTAGGCACTTAGTACGCTGAAATTTACACTGGCAGTTAGGACATCATCTGTAGTAGAGAGCTTGATGCTCCTGGAGAGCTAGCACTGTAGTGCAATATGTTAGAGCAGCTGAAAATAATGCTAGGCTGGTATTAAATCACCTGAATCCCAAAGAGTAAATCCTACCTTCGGGGCAGGTTAAGGTATCTAAATTTAGGTTCCTAGGCTCCTGCTAGGCTGTGGAGATGGAGTTAGTACAGTGGTGGCTCCTGGAGAGCTGCTTAGCTGAGCCAATGCAGGTGTCTGCTTCAGTGTGAGCTGAATCTCTCTGGGATCCCCTGACAGTCTCGGCTCTGCTGAGTCCAGTGGGATGTTAGAGGTGTTTCTCAGATGCAGGCACTTGCATTCAGATGCCTGACTCGGTGAGCTCAGCCCTGGCTGGAGGGAGTGATTCAGGTGCCTAAACCTACATGTCTATAGATGCTTGAAGGTCTCCTGCCACCTACAAGCTGCTAATCCATAAGGACCTGAGTTTCCAACACTTACTGTTTTATGTGTACCAGCTCCGTATAGATGTCTGGGATATGCTAGACCTGCAATGTCAGCTCTCACACTGAGCTGCAGAGAGGTGGCTCCTGACAAGGAACAGCCATGTGTTCAGGTTTCTGTTCCCCATTTCCTGGCTGTGCCTTGCCCAGTTGTCTCTAAATCCAGTCCAGCCTGTACACGAGAGCATGTGTACCAGCTAAGCCCCCTCTATTTGGTTATTTGCTTTCCCATCTCCTGTACAATGGTGGTTGTCCCCTTCTCCAAGTGGAACAGATGTAAGTGGATTGAGAGGAGGTGGAGAGGTTGAGAAAAGCCTTAACTGATGAATGACTGCACTATATTGCCCTGCTGCAAGTATCTCAACAATTTTGACCAGTTTGCTGATGGTCTGGGCGTGAAATCAGATCTAGGAGCTTTGTTTCACACAAGCCCAGCTCTTGAACCAGTGTAATGTGACTTTACATGAGGGAGAGTGTGGATGAGCTTCTTTTTTTCCCCTCTCTCTGTTGGTGTTGAAATGTGCTCTGTATACTCCTGTCTACCACTGTGGGATTTCTTGCAGAGTTGGCTAGACACTTTGGCACGCAGAAGCGTGACAGCCCCTAACCAAGCCGGCCCAGCTGAGGACTATAAGCAGTAACACATCTCTCCCTGTAACCCATCACTTGTTTGAATGCTACTGTGTATTATTGGATTGCATTTGAGAAGGTCTTGGCTGTCACAGGAATGAAGTGTGACCATTGGCCAGGCTTCGCTGAAGGCTGCATTATGCACAGCGCCTTTCTAAAAAAGCCTCTGTAATGTCAGGATTGGGCCAAACCCCAATTCCGAGTCCATGACCTATTGCACATGGTGCTCGGTTGGGACTCGTGCCACCGAGTAATGAAGAAATGGGTGGTCAGGAGATGGACTGCAGCCAGTACCCTGCTGTCATGAGGCCATAACATGGGCAGATGCCATAATGAGCAGAGAGGGGCATTTTTTTTTCATTTTTAGATATTGGAGATGCCCACAGGAAGGACACTCTTCATCATCACCTCGTCAGGAGGTAGCTCTGTAAAACAGACACTGTTCTGACTTGCTGTTTTGAGGCTTGGTTGCAGGTTATCCATTTAAAGTCAAAATGTAAACTGTTTTAGAGGAAGAGGAGAAGGGAGAACCGGAACTATAAATATCTGTTTATAATCTGTGGGCAAAGCACAGGTTATCTGTGACCATCCAAATAACGCATCTACTCTCAGGTTGCCCACAGTGTTGTCCCAGGAGTAAACTTGTCTCTGGAGAAGGTGGTGGAGAGTGCTCAAATGCCCTTAGTGTTTTTGGGTCATGAAGCATTGTTATTGCAGCCTGGTTTGACAGGAACCTTTACTCGATCATTCACTTTCTGAACATAGGGTCCTTTATAGCATCTGAGAGGTTGGTGCCATCTTTGTCTTTGAGGTCAAGAACTGTTCTCTCTCTGCTTTATTCTCTTCCCTTTTTGATATTCCCGTTGAAGGTAGCATCTGCTTTCACCACTTTTTCTTTTCAATGTAGTGATTCCACTGGCTCTGCTCTTCCTTCTGTTTTTTTGCTTTGTCCTCATGCATGGTCAAGGGGGAGCTGTCTCCATGGAAGGAACATCAACATTTGCAAGTCTCTCTGAATAGGAGCTTATTCTTTGCAAGTAAATACATTTTCTCCCCTTTTTTTCTGGTATCATGGATAAGATTCTTCCTTCAGGGATCAATGGAATGGGTTTTATTTCTAGCAATAGTACCTACTTAAAGAATGTTTGTATTTTCAAATTGAAAGAAAAAAAGGGAAAGGATTTTAAACCAAGCCTTGCTCTTGATAGTTGTAGTGAAAAGGTATAAGTAGGGATAGCATTTAACACAAGACTCCTGACCTAGAGAGGTCACAATCCACTCCAATTTCCAAAGGATTAAATCCTTTCCCTTTATTTCCCATGCTGATTTTAAAGATCTTTGTCATAACTGCTCAACTTTTTTTTTTTTTTTTTAATGCAAAGGAGAAAGAGAGAATCAAGTGTTTTAATTGAAAATATCCTACGTAAGACTCTGCACATACACAATAGTAATTATGCTAGACTGGGATTCAAACCCTGCTGCCCATTCCTCCATGGATGATGACTTAATATAGATAATATTTGGATGTGGCAGCCCTCAAATATATACGGAATGCTGGTCACATTCATCCTTACCCTAGAAGTCCTGCACAGCATTTACCTAAATGCCTCTTCTACCTACTGGACTCTGTCCTGTGCAAATGACCCATGTCATTGCTCTTCGGTCAAATCTTATCTTTGGATGCGCAAGACCAGCTCACCCTGAGGCACTGCTATCAAGGCACAAGTTAAGATTCTTCATCCTGACATGGAGCATGTCCTGTTTGCTCACGATAGGGCAAATGCTGGGATAGACCCATTTCGGCACAGTGAATCTGATCTTATGATCAGAAATGAGAATTTGAATTCCCTCATGTTTTTCTGCGAGGTAACTGGCCCGCATCCTAACTTAGGGTGAAAATTGAGCCTCCTCTAGTCAACCCCACAGCCATCAGCTATATCATCATTCCCAAGGGTTTCTACCTGACAGGCGGTGAGGACTGAACCCATTGGAGTGGATTCTCTTTACAGTCACGCCAGCCTAGTTTGCAATTTTTTTTTTCCCTTGAAACCCGCTGTGTGAGAAGCCAGATTCCCATCCAAGCTGCCTACAGCTGGTGCCACAGGCAGAGTAAATTCTGAGGGCTGCATTAAAGCACCTGGAATTAATGAACCCTTCACACAAGGGCTTATTTTCCATTTCTTCATGTCTTAATTTTTCAAAGAAAGGGAGGGCATAGAGGAGACTGAGAAAGCTTTAGGTTTCAGAGTGCACGAACGTGTGCTTCATTAAACAGGTTTTTGGCCAGTGAGCAATGGTGCTCTTTGTTTCTAAGAGCACATGCATCCTTCTTTATTGCTGTCAGAAGAAATTTAGGAGCACCTTTTGGATACTCTGCCACATTCCAGAAAAGGATCCTGAGCAAGGTTTGGGGATGTGGAAGCTACCTGGATGCTTTTGGAACTGCTGATTTTGGTAGAGATGATTCGGGCATGTACTGTTGTTCTTAAGGGTTCTATACATTTCAGCTACATGAAGGTTTCTCCTCAGCCACAAAGTGAATGGGCTGGGATGGCTGTATGCAATCTTGATGCTTGGAAACAGCATACGCACACACACACCCCCCAAAATAAAGAAAAAAGTTTCCATGAGCTTGTGCTGCTGTATCAACTGGAGGAGGTACAAATTGAAATCCTATAAAAGATAAGTTATATCTGCTCTGGTAAAGGCTTAGATACTTCTTTCTCTCAGAGGTGGAGGTTTGAGGTACATTAATATTGTTAATGAAGATGAGTTAGGCCAGAATTCCTTCCAGTCCTGTTGCATCTCATCTCCTTGCTCTTGTTAAAATATATAGAGGTATTAAAATTTGTGTTATATAATCTCCTAGCTGCATCTCTCAAAACTCTGAGTAGGTAAGTGCCGACATGGCAAGGTGGTGCCAGAAAGCCTTTGAACACTGTACTAGTACCGTTAACTAACCAAATAATGCAATATTCTGGTAGGTAAGTTTCATAGTTCTGAAAATTGGGACTCTCCTTTTAGGCAAACACTTCCTCTAGCACACACTTGGTGCCCACTTTCAACAGATAGATTGATGTTGTCATCAACTCTTGGTTCCAGGAGTGTTTTCTAGCAAGAGGGCTTTTCTGCTCTGTGCCTTAATTTCTCCTCCTGTAACTGATTTTCTTTTGGGGCTGTGTGTGTTCACAGGTCATCAAAGCTGGAGTGGAGACGACCTGTAAATGCCATGGTGTGTCTGGATCCTGCACTGTGCGAACATGCTGGAGGCAGCTCTCTCCATTCCACGAAATAGGGAAGCAGCTGAAACAGAAATATGAGACGTCACTGAAAGTGGGTAGCACTACCAATGAGGCCACAGGGGAAGGAGACATCTCCCCACCCAAGAAGTCCATCCCTGGTCACAGTGATCAAATCCCAAGGACTACGGATCTTGTCTACATTGACGATTCCCCGAGCTTCTGTCTGATGAGCAGATACTCCCCTGGGACTTCGGGAAGGAAGTGTTACAAAGACAAGAACTGCGACAGCATCTGCTGTGGGCGAGGGCACAATACGCAGAGCCGGGTGGTCACCCGTCCATGTCAGTGCCAGGTTCGCTGGTGTTGCTACGTGGAATGCAAGCAGTGCACCCAGAGAGAAGAGGTTTATACCTGCAAAGACTAACGCGTCTTCTGTCTCTTGGCTACCCTCAGTGATGGGCGATCGCGGTCTGTGAGGACTACATATGGAGACAAACAGGGTTTGACTGACCTTCTGGGATCTGAAAGCTATGTTGAGACATAAGCACTTTGTAGGGTACAGGTGACCCAGCTGTGTTGCTGTTTTTTTCTTTCTTTTTTTTTTTTTCTCCCATAGACTGAATTTTAATGAGGTCCAACCATGTGGAAGTAAGTGCCTGTCACGCTGGGGTTAGACACCAGTTGACCTTCACCTTAGTCATCCATGCATTTATCCATGGAACATCCCGATCGTTTCACCAATCCTCCATGGACTCCTGGGCTAACACAATATCTTTGAAATAAACATCTGTGTGACCTATACTACTTTATTTCCAAAGCTTACCTAACTGTCTAGAGAGCTGAGCAGATACAGAAGACCTTTCTGCTTTGAATGTGGTGATAGAGAAAGTTGTCTTTTTTAAAAAACATTTGAAACTGGAGATAGGTGCATAGGGTAAGCAGAACCAGCTCTCTTGGTTCCTCTAGTGGAATTTCTGCACAACAACCAAAAAGCCTTTGACAAAGAGACCTGCTTGGGGAATAAGCTTTCTAATGACAGCTCTGTATCCATGTGCTCTGATCACTAAAGTAGCTCCAAAGTGTTGGGTCCACCATGCTGCAAGATGGAAATTCCTCCAAGAAAGAGGTTGGGAAGATGGTTCCAAACCAGACGTGCCTGTCCCCTTCAGTCCAATTGATTTTTTTTTAAACATTTTCTTCACGTGCAGTTTCTTTAGCACTATCGGTGTCTTAATTTTTTATTTTTTAAGGAAACCACTACTTTTATTTTCACTTTGTACATGATGTACATTTCTCTCTTCTTCCCACCTCTTATTGATAAAATTGACCCTGTGGAGATTGCTTTGGAAATCCAAACTGGAACTTTTTCACCTTATGTCAACTGAATTTGAACATGCATTTCTGAGTAAAACAGGAGAAATTCCCATGCATCTCAACACAGTGCAGTCTTGCATTGTATAGCAACCGTTTTTGACTGGATCGGACCTTTGAAAGAGTCGACTTTTCTTTTGGCAGGTCATCATTCCATTTTCTCTAAACCATGGCAGTGGTACATGACACAAGCTGTATGTAAACCCTATGACCTTAAGATTTTTTTTTTTTTTTTTAACCACTAGATTGAGAACTGTAATTTGAAAACACAACTGCTAAATGGTAACCCACTATTGGATGCAGAATAGTTCATCGACACCGAGACAACCTATTGAGTGGCCAGAGAAGCCAGAAATCAACTGCGGTGGTAGAAAGTTCTGATGCTGTGAAACATGATCTGAAACAGAAACCTTCAGCATTTCCTTTTTCATTTTAAAGAAGATACTTGCAATCCAGGACTTGATGAGGGCGATATCGATCAGTCATATAAAAATGCTTCTGGATTGGTAACGACCGGTAAATGCTTCAACAAAGCTTTCTAAAAAACACCGGAGAGCAGAGGGCTTTTTCTTTGGTTTTAATTTTTGATAGTAAGTTTTGATCGTCCATTAGTTGCAATTTGAAATAGCTTCATAAAGCATTGGTCTGATTTTCAAAAGATGACAACTGGCTGAAATTTTTCAAGAAGTGGTAGATGTTTGCCAAACAAAAAGAGCATATTTTTCCAAGATGGACTAGTATTTTTTCCAGGTGTTGTTTTATTTCTTTTTTTTTCTTTTTTCCTTTTTTTCTTTTTTTTTTCCCTATCCCCAAATAGTGCCACTAATATTTAAGTTGTTCATGTGCATCTACTGGAAGGAGAACAGATTTTTATTTTTCTTGGTAACAAATAACTTCAGCCCAGTCTGGCTCCGCTGGATTCAAATATTGAGGTGAGGGACTGGAGAGGGACAGGATGTTACTGTTAATAGTGCCATGGTCCTGCAAAGCAAAACGTATTATTGTTATAATTATTATTGTTTGTTTATTTGCTGTACAATTATGGAGATTGGGGTGGTGCTGGAGAAGAAGAAATCCACGCGCAGTGTTTGTCCCATCCACCACAGCCAGGGCTTGGTGGAGCGTCCGACGCCAAGAATTTGCAAGAGGGTCTCGCAGCCTCCGTGGGATGCACCGTTTTGAGCAGTTTTATCTAATGGTTTTAAAAAAATGAACTGAATAGAAACATATTACTCGGTGTGTGCATGTGTGTATAAATACACATGCAGACACTTAAATATATATATATAAATATTGAATGAACATTTATTTATTGGAAAGCCCTTCAGAAGGACCTTCTTATGGTTTCAATGTGGTATTATGTTAAACTCTCTTTCTCCCTCTGTCTCTTTCTCTCTCACACATATGTGCAAACTCACTGTTACATTTTTGTGTGTGTGTTAGAGTAGCTCTTGCCCCTCCAAGTAAGGCTGGATCCAAACCTGCTCAAAACATGAGGGTTTTAGGGTCTTGGTTTTACTAGTTCTGGACCCATTCTTCTTTTTTTAAAATATTTGTTCTTAGTGAAAGAATGGGCCACAATTTATGTGCATTATTATTATTGTTAATTATTATTATTGTTATATTTAAACCATGGGCCTCATTTTCCTTCTTTTCACTGGTGTCTCTGTCTCCGTTGACCTCGCTGGAGTAACTCCATATTGCACTGGTGTGAGAGGAGAATGAGTCCCTAGAAGCAGAAGAGAGGGCAGTGTTGGCATTGATACCATCATAGTGAACATGCCTGCAGCAGGTGGGATAGGATACATAGCTTGATGTGTTTGGCCATAGAGAGGAAAGAGAGATGGGGTGGGCAAATAAGGCAGACTGACAAAAGTCTCAACAGAAGTAAGAGGCAAAGAGTGAATGAACTACTGAGTGAAAGAGCTCTTCTGTGTATTATAATTCACGCACTGAAGCCTGGATGCTTTCTGTAAGTATTTAAAAAAAAAAAAAAAAGAAAAAAAATCACAAAAACAAATTGTATTTATGTTAATGTGGATATATTACTTGCCTGTTATATATTTGTAAATAGCAAGGTTTATTCTCCTGTGGTTAAAAAAAATATAAATAACTAAATAGTAGCGAGGCACATGTGTTAAATGTATAGGCAATGTATAAAATATACTAACACTCTGAAATCAGGAGAACTTGTCTTCTTGGCCTTTTGACCTAGGGTGGTAAAACATATGTGGGTTATTTTTCTTCTCCCCATCCCCAGCCCTTGTGTGTGTGTTTTGGGGGAAGTTTTGTAACGTTCCAGAGTTTTCTGATGCTTGCCTTATCTATGAAGAAGGAGTGCAGAGAAAAAGCCTCACTGTGGAAAAATCCAATGGAGCTTGAGTAGGATCAGATAATTAGCAACTGATAGTAAATTTGTTAGACCCTCTCAAAAGTCTCTTGAATGCTTGAGTTGGGTTTTGCTCTGCGGTGTTTGGGTGTTGGAACTTAATTAAACCATGGGACAGAGTGGGGGCTTCTACTCACACTCCTCCATGTGCAAGCCTAGAAAACCCTAGGCAAGGAGCATTTGAAAACTTCTATGAAGCATCAAGTAACGTCCCATAAAACCCACTTGGTTCCAACTGTATGAAATTGGATTATTCCAGGGAGGCCAGTTCTACCGTCAAATCATCTGATCTCCAGTGCAATCCCACAGAGATTTGATCATTTTTGTAAAAAATACTGTTAAGAGTGGATATGGGCCCTGAATTTTTCATGGCATCTCTTCATTATGAAAGTGCAAAGCAACTTGCCCGCTTTTTCTTCTCTCCTATAGAAACAGATTTTTGCAGCAGATGTAACTGGAGAAGATGGATGGGTGTAGGGGAGTCTCTGGTTTCTGATCCCCTTTCACTCCTTTTTCCCCCCAAAAGTGTCAAAGTGTGGATTCTCCTAAGCTGATCCAGCAAGACTTGCAAGATCAGTATTGGGGTGGGGGGGGTGCAACCATTATTTATATAACTTTTTTATTAATTTTTTAAAAAGAGAAGTTAGCTGATGGAAGAATATTTTTATTGAATAGTGCATTTAGTTATGTCAGAAATATAAAAAATATATATAATATTTTTGTAAACAAGGCAAACTGAAAATGTTTGCTGTTTTATATTAGAATTTTCTATTAAAAGAAATAAAAACCCACACAAATAATTGTTGCACCCGTCATCTGTTTTTTAACAAGCTTCTATTCTGTGTGACTGACTCATGTATATGGGATGTGGAGATGTGCAAAACAAATCCTAAACATTATGTTCTCTTTCTCTTCTGACTCTTGAAAGACTTCAGCTGGTGAAACCGGCAGTGTTTAGTCCACAGTTTTATGTTTTTTTCAGTTTCTCATTGCTGACACTAGAAATTTCTTACAAAGGGTGACAGATTGAGTAGCTTGTAAATGAAATACAAAATCCTACTCAGAAACCTCAAGCTTACTGTTTCTAATTTTGTTTTCTGATTTTGGGATGGCTCTAGAGGGAGGAAAGTCCAAAATGGTTTTCAAAAACTAGATTTTTGCCCTTGATCTCTGTTGGGATGGGAAGACTGGCCCTTGTGAGGGCTTTTTGGGAAGAAAAAAAAAAAAAAAGAATTGATGGGAAGTTTAAATAAAGAATACCAAATTCCGGGCTTGATCTAGGGCAAGCTGTCTTTAGAGATTTCAGGAGCAAAGTTGTGGCACTGGAACTTGGTCTGCTGGAGTTCAGGAAGTCTCTTGTTCCCCTCTAGAAGCAAAGGTTAATTTTTGAGCCATCTCTTTTCAGGAGAGCTTTCACTATTGCAGATTTGGAGACCTGCGTAGTGGCTAAAAAAATTCTGAGGGTTTTTCATGATCGGACAGCCTTTATTCATCTGCCTTCCTTTGGCCCAGCCCTTGAATTTCTTTGTTAGTCATTTTTCAGCTACCCTGTTTTGGCCAGCATGCAAGTTGAGATTGGGTCATTTTGGTTGCAATAGGTCTGCATGAGAATCCAAAGGAAGAGACAAATTCCTACTGATGACATTTATAGAATAGATGCTACTTAAGGTAATTTTCTGTTGAACTATAGTGCCTATGGAAAAAAACAAAACGCACAAAAAAAATCTGATGATGTCGCAGTAAAGTCAGGTTTATTCAGTACTCTCTAAAAAAGTGCACCAAAGCTGTATTCCCTGCTTTTTTGGTGCTATATGCACATCTGTTGGGATGAGTCTGGCTGCCACAGTCAGGTCATCCTGGCTTTTGCCTTTCAGGATGCTAACTATGTGATGACTTATTGCAAGCCACATTCTCCTACAAGATGAACAGTGCCTTTTATGCCCATTGCCATCCACGTAACTTGAAGGAGGCTCAGTATGACGTGGGATCAGACCTGTAAAAATCTGCTGATGCTGAAGATGCCAAGCTTAGGTCTGTGGATATGATCATTGAATAGTATCTCTGAAAAAAATGAGAGGTTTTGAGTATTTGTGAGAGGCAGAAAACAGAAATGCTAGCACATTTTAACTCGATTAGCTTTTAACCACCTTGGTAGACTACCTATAGTAGAAGAAATTGCACATTTCTCCAGGGACAGGAAGCATGGAGAGTGTAAGTGAATACCATAAATGAATCGGATAAGTAAACATTCATCATGCTATCAGAGGACACATGCAGATATGACGTTTTTCTCAGTTGCTGTAAGGTCTCAGAAATGTGCAAAATATTCCTAAGTAAGTTCTGGCAAGGTGACCCAAAGCATCAGGAGATTCCTCTTCTCCATCTGGTGTTTCCTTTAGTTGCAGAGTTGCTTGGAAGAGTTAGGCTGTGTGGGGCAGAGGTACTGGTTTGCTTGGTGCAGTGGGGCAGTTGCAAGGGGCCAGGAGACATCTCCCTTAGTAAGGGAGTCCCGGTTAAATGTTACTTGCCCTATCCCCATCTGCAAGGAATTAACACATAGACCTCCAAGCTGAGAGAGATGGGGATGAATTCAGGACTGAACAAAGTGTTTTAGGTGGATATCTGACAGCCCAAAGTAGAGATGGCTACGTCCCTTTTGGTATGAACCTATCCAAAGCAGGGGTCATCAACACAGCATGGAAATTTGCCCTTTTTCCACCTTACCGCAATTTTTTGACAATGCTCTTTGAGGCCTGTATGTTAAGTCTAGGATTTGTTTTGCACACTTGGGATGACATTTCCTTTTAAAGGGAGGTGGGGACTGAATACTAACATGAAG